CTCGTATAACTCATTTGAAACTTCAATCCTGCACAGAAGTATTTAGGAGGTTGCATGGTCGTTCCTCCTAGGTACGTCAGGAAAGCTCCCTTTGTTGTGACGTCATCAACTATAGGGGCAGAGAGACCTGTCGTTGGTGTTGCCAACAGTTGTGCTGTGACGTGTCACATGGCACTACGACTCACATTAGCTCCGTTCGGGAAACCGAGACGATTCCGCGATTGTGTTCGGTTAGACAGACGAGACGAGCGAAGTCAGATTTAACATCCTGCTTCAGTGTTAGAAGAATTTGAGAAATATCCAAATATCCTGGGTTCGAATCCAGGGGATTTTGATTGTTAAACTTTTTGTCTGTATGATTATAGTGAGGTCCTTTAGGGTAGGTGTAGGATAAAGTCGCGATGATCTTCGAAGTTGTGTTCTGCTTCAAATATCTTACGGGTTACGTCCGTAGTAACTTTATTCTTTTAAATACACTGACAGTGTTGGAAGAATAGTATAAATGAAGTAATTTGTTACGTTGTTATCTTGATCTTCCGAATTTTGAAGCCAATCTTTGTGTTTCATTTCCAGATTTATGCCTTGCTCCTACGAATGCAACCACATTCTAAAAGAATAAAAAAAACACCGCAAATAAGTTTTCTGTGTCTTACAGATGAGGTGATACGAACACTGCTTTTAACTCATTAATAACGAGCATTGTCTGAATTTCGCTTCGCGTAAGTTATTAATGATTCTTGTTTGTTCTCGTCACCCGACTTGTTTATACGTCGAGTTACATTTGAGAAGCAACCGAGACTACGACAGTATTTGCGGGCTTTTGTTAACATCAGTGCGACAGCACAAATGAGTCGTTCTTTAGCTTGTATTTGTTAGGAGGAACCGACACCGTGCCTTTAAAGCAGGCACTGAAAATGTCCACCATTTCTCGAACACAACCATCCAGCCTTATTAATGCGTTTCTTTTGACTCCGTGAAGTGTTCCTGATGATGGCAGCAGTCTGTTCAATATCGTGTTTTAGAAAACAGCAGAAAACGATTTCAGTGAGAAGTAATGTTTGAGATTAAGAATGCGATTTGCTCATGAATGCACACAAATTTTGCGCAATTATCGTGAGCCAGATACGAGGTGCGATCGGAAAGTTTCAAGACTGCGCCTATAAAAACCCGTACACTTATCTCAGGTATTAAATTCATCCATCACCCTCGAAGTAGTTCCCCTGGGAGTGACCACAACGATCCCAGCCCCGCTGCCAAGCCTGGAAGCATCCCTGGAAATCTTTCTTGGTCAGCCTGTCAAGCACCATCTGCGATTCTGCCTGAATCTCTTCTATCGTCTCAAATCTCATTCCCTTTAGCTGAATTTT